TAAATTGTGAAAGGGTGTCTAAATTACGGAGATCAGGAGGGAGTGAATTCCAAAGCTGAGGAACAGAGTGGCTGAAGGATCTGCTCCCCATGGTGACAAGGCCGACAGAGGGAACAGTGAGGTGAATGGAAGAAGAAGACCTGAGTGTTGGAGAAGGTGTGGCGATATGAACAAGATTAGTAAGGTATGGAGGAGCGAGATTGCGGATGGCTTTAAAGGTGAGAAGAAGTATTTTATAGTTAATTCTAAAAGAGATGGGAAGCCAGTGAAGCTGTTGTAGAATGGGTGTGATGTGACAGACAGAGGGGGTTTTTGTGATAATACGGGCTGCAGCGTTTTGTACCAGTTGTAATTTATGTAAGAGTTTATTAAGAGTTTATTATTATTTAGAATTTATATTAAGAGTTTTTATAGGGAGGCCAAACAGAAGGGAATTACAGTAATCTAAACGGGATGTGACTAAACTATGAACAAGAATGGCAGCTGAATGAGGTGCGAGGGAAGGACGTAAACGATTTATATTTCGAAGGTGGAAATAGGTATACATACACACATACACATGTATTATCTGAAAGACAGCACTCACTGAGCAGTATAGCGCTTCTGTCACTATACTGGGGCATTAGGACCAACATAGAGCGCAGATTGAGCGCCCCCTGCTGGCCTCACTAACAACCTAAGGTAACCACCAGGTACTGACCAGGCGCAGCCCTGCTTAGCTTCAGTGGGCGACCATGTGAGAGTTGCAGAGAGCTAGCTGCCGGCAGCTGTAATGTAGTGTCTACTACACAGTAAGTCAATTTCTACAGAGAGATTGCAATTATAGGTTAATTGTGCCGTGTATATGTATCATAAAAGCATAAACCAAAAGACTGTGTTGATTTATTGGACTGTAAGCTGTCACTGTGGCCGAGCGTGTCACTCAGTCTTTTGATTTAGAAGTTGTCCAATGATGCGTTAATGGTCCAGCGTTGTGATTGGCTCACATGACAACCTTCCCACAACATATTAAACACTCTCTCTCCCTCATGCACCCCTACAAAACAGCATCAATAACCCTCCGCTGTCCTCTCTCTCTCTCCACTTTATTTGCAATAACTGTCAGCGGTGGAGCGATGCGTTTGTAATCTGATTTTTATGAACATACTTGTATGGATTATTGAGATCCTTTAATGCCTGAACCGGGTGCTTTCGGAAAAAAAAAAAGCCGAAGTCTCCTGAATGTTAATGTGACAATAAGAGTAATGAAGCGTCCCGCAGTTTATCTCTTCCCTCACTTCTTCTCTTCCCACCCCTGTCGTTCTGATGTCTTAAACTCTCCGTTTTAAAGGGGGAGTTGATGAGAAACGAGGAGGAGCGGGAGAGTTTGTGGAAGGGGTGTCTTCGTGATGGCGTCTTTAATCAAATCTTGCCCGAGCCAGAGAAAGCAAGTCAAACCTCATCTCCACCCTCTCTCAATCACCCTGGGCTTAAATAAGGCCCAAAATCAATCAGCCAGCGTTTGAACTCTCATCAGGAGACGTCATGCTTTTCAAGCCCCCGCTGTAGATGCCACACATCAAAACATGCTGGCCTCTTCCATACAGCTGAGTGACCACTTTAACTATGGGATTTCAAATCCAATTAAGGGTATGTTTGCATCCAATCTTTTTTAAATGTTTCTAAAGATGGATTTATAATTTCTGCGTAATCTACAAAACTGCAGTTTAGTTAAGATCGTCATATCTTGAATAATGAGCAGTGGTGGAAAGAGTGCTGAAAAATCATACTTATGTAAAAGTACCACTACTTGCCTAAAAATGTAGTGCGAGTAGAGTAAAAGTATTTGTTGAAGATATTACGATAAGTATGAGTAAAAACACCTTAGCACTGTTGCTTCACAGCAAGAACGTCTCTGGTTCTAGTCTCTACCAAGCCAGCCAACGGTTCTGTGTGGAGTTTACACATTCTCTCCGTGCTCACGTCCAAAAACAAGGAACCTAAGGTAATTGACTAATCCAACCCAGGCTCATTCTGAAAACGTAGTCCCGTGGACATTTCTGGAGACCGTGAAATACGTCCAAGGAGGTACGTATTTTTGCAGTTTTTGTTTTTGTGAATCCGCAAGAGGCCACTGTGTGCGCTTTTACATATCTCGAATGTCTCTCGCGAGTGCCACTCTCACCCGTGCTATCCCGTGAACCCACCAGAGGCCGCTGTCTGACTGACTGAAGGATTGACTGTGCGACCGGCCAATCGGCTGACCCACCCTCCTCCTTCCCTCAACCCAATCAACTTTACCGATTGACCTGCCGGCCCGCTCACTTCCCTAAACCCGAGCAACAAATAAGAAAAGCCGTCTAGAAAAAGAAAAGCCCTCGTCGGATATTTTTTTACCACGTTTTCGGATTTCACCCCGTTCTTACCCTTTTATGAACTCGTTCACTTTATTTTTTGGATTCTGTTTTTGTCTTACCTGATTTCTGGAACCACTCTTCCCCGGACTCGAAGCTGGTCGCCGTGGTCAACTCCTCCTCTCTGCATCTGAAGTCTGCCGACGTAAACAATTAGCTGACCAGACCAACTGGTTGCAGCGGAAAATTCCTCCACACCGAGGTAAGCGGTCAGCCGGTAAGCACAAAAGGGAACAGCGTCATACCGCGTTCGCTTAAAAAATTAAATGCAGCTATACGTACCTCCTTGGACGTATTTTGCGGTCTCCAGAAACGTCCACAGGACTACTTATTTCTTAAAAGAGCCATTACTATCTTCTCTCCAGCTACTCTGACAGGGGAGTTCTCTACATCTACCTGAGCTCAAACTCCCCTCTCGCCTTGCAATGGTAGGGAGCCCCGTACACGAGGATCTTATGAGCTCAGGGCTCTCTCCCCAGACAGCATGCCAAACACGCTTAATAATCAATCATCAGCTTAGTGTGAACTCTTACACAATATGCCCCTGTAAATATCATTATTGTGAAAAGGAACAGAAGTAGTGCTCGTCATACTGCCTCCTAGTGTTCATTTCACCTACAAACTGCAGTCATACACAATCCTTAAATAGAGCCTTTTAAGATGTCATTACATAATTCCTATTCTCTACATGCCTGACAAGTTTGTCTGCTACATAATCTCCCATCATACTAAATGAAGTTTCATAAACTAATTTCGAGAGGAGCACGTGATATGATTGACTGCAGCCGGCCACTCATCTAAGCTCATTAGCTAGCCAATCGGAACGATCCAAACCCACTATAAATAACCTAGCTAAAATGTACACCCCTATCTTCGTTTTCCGAAGAAACCCCCCATCCACCCCTTCTCCTCCTTTCCTCTTTTGCCGAGGGGAGCTCTCGAGAACACCTGACCTCGTACTCCCCTCACATGCTTTATGGACCTGGCGGGAACCCTGGGCTCAACTATCTCCGAGCTCAGGGTTCTCTCCCGGGACAGCATGCCAAACCTGCTAACTTGCTAACAAGTTGTCAAACAGTATCTAAGTGTGAACTCTTGAAACATTTTAATGCCAGTCTTCTATAATTCATGGTAAAAATGCATGAAGTTTTCTTGATTCTGTAAACAACAGGTCATTGCGGCGGCCAATGGGAACCGTCAGCGCTGAACGAATAAAGAAGCATCTTCATGGAACGACGACCAAGAAAAAAAAGAAGAAAAAATCTGCATGCAAATGTCAAGTCAGCCAGAGTTCATTTGCACTCCTGAATTATCTATTATGGAAATAATAATGACTTCAAAATGAGTTAAGGCGGGTGGCAGCTGCCTCCGTGGCACACATGTGACCTAAATGTGCCCGAGGCTGGGAAGAGTTGAAGAGGCCGTTTCATGGAGCTTTATGAACTCAGTGTGAGATCCACAGACGGGTTTACTGCACCCATTGTTGAGCTGCTTTGAATGGTTGCACATTAAGGTGTGTGCATGTGTGTGTGAGTATTTTTGCATGTGCATTTGAATGTGTGCATGACTGTATACTTGTTTATGCTACAAACTGTTCTCACAATGTTGTAAAACCTGGAATTTTTTGCTACCTTCGGTATAAGGAAGAAATGTCCCCACAAGTATAGCAATACCAGTACATTTGGACGCTTTGAGGACATTTTAAACTCCCCATGATGAAAATAGCACATAAATGACACAGAATAAAATATTTTGAAAATGAAAAAATATAAATGAATAAATAAAAAGTATAATAATAAAA